CCGGGCAGCTTCACCGCTGGAGAAATCACTCTCTATGATGCTCTCAGTCTGGTAACATGTTTGCATTTTTAATTCGGTGCCATTTTTACATTTGCTTTGCATTTAAGTTGAAATCTATTGCAAATGGTGGTCTGGTGTCTCAGCGATTAGCACTGTGGCCTCACATTAAGAAGGTTGCTGGTTCGAGCCCCGGCTGGGTCAGTTAGTGTTTCAGTGTGGAGTTTGCATGTTCTCCCCATGTTGGCATGGGTTTCCTGTTTCCCCCACAGTCCAAACACATGCGCTATAGGGGAATTGATTAACTAAATTGGACATCGTGTACGGGTGTTTCCCAGTTCTGGGTTGCAGCTGGAAGGGCATCAGCTGTGTAAAACATATGCTGGAATAGTTGGCGGTTCATTCCACTGTGGCAACCCCTAATGAATGACACCTTCACCTGGACTACAATTCTGTCTCTTATAGAACTACAAATTCTATCATGCACCGCTCACACACACCAGTTCCTCATTCCATTGATTACACACACATAGCCAGAGGATCATTATGGGCTGATTACATGGATTTTAAATACAGCGCACACACACACACACACATCTGTGATGAGTCTTGTTTAACTGTATTGTGACATTACGACTCGTTTCCCTTGCCTTGCAGTGTTTGACCCTCAATTTGTTTTGTTTGTTTGCGTTGCTTGCCGCCTGTACTGACTGTTCGCCTGTTATTTGACCATGACTCTGAACTGCCTGTATACATCTGTTGGTCCCTGTTGACCATTGCCTGCCTGGCCATTCTCATAATAAATCTGTCACGTTTGCGTGATCAAAACAATATCAAAACGGGAACAAAAGATTGCGGATTCAAGTGCAGATTTATTTACAGTGCAAAAACATAAAACAAGGTGTTCAAAGTACAAATAAACCACAAAATCAGAAACTAAAACAGAGACAAGGCTCAGGAAACAAAGCTCGAAAAACTAGACTAAGCAAAAATACAAAAACACGATCAGGAACAACAACTCAGAATATCAAACTTACTGCAGGACTGGGAACAAGACAGACAAGGTAGACAAACGACGCCATGACAAACTGTGGTGAAGTGGTTGTATAAATAGTCCAGATAATCAACGGCAACACAAAACAGGTGTGATGACAGGTCAGTGTAGGTGTTCCGGTGTGTGTGCGGGGCATCTATGAAAATGTAGTTCTTTTCCTGGGACGCTGTAGTGCCTACAAAGTCCTAGTGCACTACAGCGCCCTCAGGTGGTCACTGACGGATGTGACAAAATCCTGCATTTGGATCCTCAATCCCTTTGTCCAGCGTTCGTCACATTACACTTATCCAAAAATAACATTCAAGTGATGATAAATGAAAGCACTTCAAATATATAATATTTATTTCTTGGCAAAAATTAATCGTGATTAATCACATACTAAATAAACATTTGTGTGCTCTATACATATGCTATGTATATATAAATACACATATCAGAGGTCGCCACAGCGGAATGAACCACCAACTATTCCAGCAAATGTTTTACACGGCGGATGCCCTTCCAGTTGCAACCCAGTACTGGGAAACACCCATACACACTCACATTAACACACACACACTCATAGACTATGGCCAATTTTGTTGATCAGTTCCCCTATAGCGCATGTGATTGGACTGTGGGGGAAACCAGAGCACCCGGAGGAAACCCACGCCAACATGGGGAGAACTGAAATGCCAACTGACCCAGCCGGGACTCAAACCAGCAACCTTCTTGCTGTGAAGCGACAGTAATACTAATAATATATAATGCAAATCGAAGTTACCAAATGTCCAACTCTCAGCCTTTTCTGTTTTGTTTTCAAGGTGCTGAACGAAAATGTTTTTGACTAAATCTTAGTTTTAGTTTGCTTAAATAAGGTTTATTGTGGCTCAAATCTCTCTTCTTTCGTTATATAGAGTCCCGTGGGTGTGATTTCTGCTCACGCCAGTCACGTGGCCGGCATCTCCTTCAGCGCTTCAGGATCCAGGATGGCCACCGCTTCAGAAAAAGTCAGTCCGAGAGTCTCGTTTTTCCTCAGATATCTCCGTCATGACGTGATTGTCACTGTGTTCTCCTACTGTGACCATCAGGGAACGGTGATCAGAGTGTTCAGTGTTCCTGATGGAGTCCGACTCTTTGAGTTTCGCAGAGGACTCAAGAGGTGAGATGTACCATTATACAAGAATTTTAAGAAAGAGCACTACATTTGAGGGTTCTTGATTTTCTTTATATAGTAGTATACACTATTATCGCTTTACAGATTTTCAGTGAACCTGTTTCTTTTAATTCCCAAAATGTTTATGACATCCATCCTTTCATCAACAAATGCAATGGAGCATGTGCAGTATCTAATGTGAAGCTGTGAGTCCCCAGTATAGTGAAGGGGACACTGTACTGTCAGTGAGCACCAACTTTCGGATGAGATGTACACTGAGGTCCTGACTCTCTGTAGTCATTACAAATCCCATAGCACTTCTGGTGAAGAGTAAGGGTGTAACCCTGATGTCCTGGCCAAATTCCCATCATGACCTCCCAATCATCCCCATCCACTGAATTAGCTCTATCACTGTCTCTCCACTCCACCTATAGCTGGTGTGTGGTAAAGCACTGCACCATTGTCCTGTGGCTGCTGTCGCATCACCCAAGTGGAGCCGCACACTGGTGGAGGTGTGGGGAGATGATCATGATGGTGAAGCTTTTCGGGCGTACAGTAAACGCGCTATATAAATACACATTACATTACATTATTGCAATATATTGAATTTCCCACTGGGGGATTTGCTCTGTGTTTGTGTTCAGGTACGTGAGCATCAGTTCTCTGTCGTTCAGCGCAGATGAACAGCTTCTGTGTGTTTCCAGCAACACCGAGACGGTTCACGTCTTCAAACTGGAGCATCACAGTCCCAAGTAATCAAACACATCATGAAAATGATCAACATGTGTTACATGCACAACAATACATTGAGCTTTGTGTCAGGCTTTAGCAAAGTAGCTATTTTCCCTCTGCAGTCCCTTTAAACAATTAAAATATATATTAATATTAATAGTATCATCCGTATCACAGAGAGGTGATGAATTCATTGTATTTTATGTGTCAAGAATTTGTCTCTTGCATGCATAGGCTGCTTGACCAATCAGATTAGCCCTCACTATCTTAAACTCCGCCTCCCCAGCAGGTGCTGTTCTGCTATTGGCTAGAAGGTGAACCCAGAGCTAAATAATAATCACTAATGGCTAAAAATTGAAAATTACAACAGCAAACAATGAGGCTTTCAGTCATCTATAGTGTTTTAAAGTCTAAATGCTGGCACTTTGTTCTGTTTTAGTCTGAATTAGATTTATCTATTAAAATATTGATTAATAAACCTATTAAAAATCTGTTATCTGTTCATTTTAGTATAAAGCAAAAAGACTTTTCTTACTTGAAAGTTTTGTCTGGTCCAAATATATAAAAATTCTTAAACCAAGAAGGGTTTTTCTAATCTAGACAAGTGAAAAATAGGATTTTTAATAACAATAATAAAAATTAAGTGAGTGTTTAATTAAAACAAGCAAAATAATCAGCAAATGGGTGAAGCCAAATAAAGTAAGTTCCAATCTAAACCAATATTCTTCTACTTGCCTCACTGGCAGATTATTTTGTTTGTTTTAAGGAAAAACTCTAGTAAGAAAAGCATTTTTCTTGCAATGTATTGTCGTTAAATTATTAAGCGATTCAATCCTCTGTTTTACCCTTCTATCTTGGACTGTGCTTATGCCTAATGGAGAGATCTTGGATTGGCTTCTTTTGGTGATCTTTACATTGACGGTGTTTTTGCCTCTTTTGGTCAGTTGGCCTCTCAATTTAATGTCCCTAAATCCCAATTTTTTCAGATACTTACAAACTCGAGATTTTGTGCGCAAAAAATTCGTTAACTTTCTAAATGCACCGCCAACTTCAGATCTAGACACAATACTGGGCATAGAGCCCTGTGCTAAAGGTTCAATTTTTTAAATTATTTATTATAATTGTTAATCTTCAATTTTCTTCTGATAACTTACGGACCACCTGGTCTCAAGACATGGGATTTGAGATTACAGAGGAGACTTGGAAAGCGGTCTTGAACATGGTTAACTCCTCCTCAATCTATGCACGTCACAGGCTAATACAATGCAAGGTATTGAATAGAGCTCATTGGTCCAAAAGCAGGCTAGCTCGCATCAATCCGTCTATAGACCCTGAGTGCGACAGGTGTCATTCTGGTACAGCTACTTTATTTCATATGTTTTGGTCCTGTCCTTCCCTGCTTTCTTTTTGGAGACAAATATTTCTCTCGCTATCAGCTATTACCACTGTTGATATCCCACCATGTCCAATTATTGGTTTATTTGGGGTTCTTCCGCCCGACCACACTTTACCCTCTCATTTTGTAGACTTTGTAGCTTTCCTAACTCTTCTGGCTAGGCGATTAATTCTTCTGAACTGGAAGAGCCCACACCCTCCTTCTCACTCTTGTTGGATAAGAAATGTTCTTTATTTTATGAAATTAGAAAAAATTAGGTACTCTCTTCACCGAACTAGCACTATTTTTATTAATTTGTGGGAACCCCTTCGCAAATATGTCCAAACTCTTCAGCTTGACCCTGCTCCTTCTGATTGAGTCCCCACCCCCTAGTGCCCAGCTTTTATGGGAAACTACTTCTGGTCAACACATTGTAGACTTGTTTTTTATATATATAAGATTGCACTAGTGGTGTTGTTTTTTTATTTTATTTATCTATTTATTTTTATTATCTTATTTTATTTATTATTGTTTATTTATTTTTACTATTAATATTTGCTCAAAATACTCTTCAGTGTATTTGCTTATTGTTACATGTTTATGTCTTTGTAAATTTTTGTAATGTTTCACAATGTATAAATAAAACATTTTTAAAAAAATTATTAAGCGATTAAAAATATAAAAAAAAAAAATGTTTCCCTTATGAAATGTTATATCACAAGACATATCGTTATTGTTATTGCAACACTCAATAACATCACATACTTTTCCCCAGTATGGTGCAATCCTAGTCTCAAAACATGATGCTTTTACATAAGTTGTTGTTAAATAGCGTGTGTGTGTGTGTGTGTGTGCTCTTAGTCAGGATTCTCCATCCTGGTCTGCGTACATAGGGAAGGTGTTTTCCGCCGCCAGCACGTACCTGCCGTCTCAGGTGTCAGATATGATGCATCAGGACCGAGCGTTCGCCACTGTTCACCTCAGCCAATCCGGCGGCAGGAACATTTCAGCTCTGTCCACGTCAGTGCATTTAATGCATTTGTTTATTAAACAGCAAAATCACTGTTTGGATAGATTTGTGTGTAGTATAGTGTGTATTGGAGTGAAATAAACACAAGTCTCTTTTTATTTCCTGATATTAAAATAGGATCCAAAATTAAAGCAGAACTATATATCTATTGAGCATCGGTAATGCGATGTGTGTATCTGCAAGAGTCACATTGCAGGATTACAAGATAATATTATTATTATTATTTATGCAATGATGATCAGGTTATTTTACATTTTATTGTTTAATTTCTGCACTTGAATACTGTTAGACTCCTCAGAAAACCATAAACAATTTTTATTATTGAATTATGCCGGATGTTTATTATAATTTATTCAGATCCAGTGCATAGAAAAAGACTTGATCAACGTAGTCAATCTAAATTAATGAAATCTTTACAAATAGAGCTATTCAAATCATGTTGTGAAATGATATTTTATAACCAATATATACTGACCGGCCACTTTATTAGGTACACCTGTCCAACTGCTCGTTAATGCAAATTTCTAATCAGCCAATCACATGGCTCACTGCGTTTAGGCATGTAGACATGGTCAAGAGGATCTGCTGCAGTTCAGAGCGAGCATCAGAATGGGGAAGAAAGGGGATTTAGGAGACTTTAAACGTGGCATGATTGTTGCTGCCAGACGAGCTGCTCTGAGTATTTCAGAAACTGCTGATCTACTGGGATTTTCACGCACAACCATCTCTAGGGTTTACAGAGAATGCTCCGACAAAGAGGAAATATCTAGTGAGCGGCAGTTCTGTGGGCGCAATTGCTTTGTTGATGAGGCCAGAGGAGAATGGCCAGACTGGTTCCAGCTGATAGAAAGGCAACAGTAACTCAAATAAGCACTCGTTACAACCGAGCTCTGCAGAAGAGCATCTCTGAACACACAACACGTCCAACCTTGAGGCGGATGGGCTACAGCAAATGGCCTCCACAGTCACCAGAGCTCAATCCAATAGAGCAGCTTTGGGATGTGGTGGAACGGCAAATTGGCATCATGGATGTGCAGCCGACAAATCTGCAGCAACTGTGTGATGCTATCATGTCTATATGGAGCAAAATCTCTGAGGATTATTTCCAGTATCTTGTTGAATCTCTGCCACAAAGGATTAAGGCAGTTCTGAACGCAAAAGGGGTCCAATCTGGTATTAGTAAGGTGTACCTAATAAAGTGGCCGGTTAGTGTATATCGCAGTAAAACAAAATATTGCAATGTCAGACTTTTTCCAATATCATTTAGTCCTAATCCAAATGTCATCGATTTGACGTTGCAGTGCGGTTTTCCCCGCCCACTGATATTGATTGACAGGTGGGTATTAACATCAGATTCATCACTGTGTGCAGGATCCAGAAGGTTCCTCGACTGCTGGTGGCTTCATCAGACGGTCATCTCTACATCTATAATGTGAATCTGCAGGATGGTGGAGACTGTCGTTTAGTCCAGAAGCACAGGTCACAATACACATTATTACTGAACACAATTAGCTTTAGCTTTTTTGAAGCACAAATATAAAAATCGAAGATAAATTTGTGTTTCGTTCATTAACAGACTGTTTGAAAGGGCAGATGAAGCTCTGGTGGCGTCAGATTTACATGTGGAAACTCCATCATATGCTGAAACTGTTGCCACAAACACAAACCAGGACTCTACACCTTCCAGTTCACTCACAGGTGCATCACGTCTGCTTTATGTTACTTTATAAAAGTGACCAGTCAGACCAGTGAAGGGTCATCTGACCAATCAGAGCAGAGTAGAGCTATCTTACCTATGAGAACAAAGAAGGGTTATTTGACCAATCAGATCAGAGTGGAGTTATCTGCCCAAGCAATCAGATCAAAGCGGTGTCATCTGACCAATCAAAACAGAGTACAGCCATTTGACCAATTAGATCAGAGTGAGCCACCTGGCCAATCACAGTAGTGCCATCTGACCAATCATAAAAGAGCTATCTGACAAATCACGTCAGAGTAGAGCCATCTGACCAATCGCAACAGAGTATAGCTATCTGACCAATCAGAGCAGAAAAAGACCATCTGACCAATAAAAACAGAGTATAGCCATCTGGCCAACCAGAACAGTGTAGTGCTATCTAACCAATCAGATAAGTGCAGTGTAATTTGACCAATTAGTTATCTGAGCAATCATAACAAAGCAGATCCATCTGACCAATCAGAGCAGAAAAAGGCAAACTGACCAATTAGAACAGAGTAGAGCCATCTGACCAATCAGATAAGTGCAATGTCATTTGACCAATCAGAACAAAGTTATTTGAGCAATCAGAGCAAAGAGGATACATCTGACCAATCAGAGCAGAAAAGGGCGAACTGACCAATCAGATCAGAGTAGAGCCATCTGACCAATCAGAGCAGAAAAAGACCATCTGTCCAATCAGATTAGAGTAGAGCTATCTGACCAATCAGAGCAGAGTAGAGCCATTTGTCCAATCAGATCAGAGTAGAGCCATCTGACCAATCAGATCAGAAAAATACCATTTGTCCAATCAGATCAGAAAAAGACCATCTGTCCAATCAGATCAGAGTAGTGTCATCTGACCAATCAGATCAGAGTAGAGCCATCTGACCAATCAGATCAGAAAAATACCATTTGTCCAATCAGATCAGAAAAAGATCATCTGTCCAATCATATTAGAGTAGAACTATCTGACCAATCAGAGCAGAAAAAGACCATTTGTCCAATCAGATCAGAGTAGTGTCATCTGACCAGTCAGAGCAGAGTAGAACCATCTGACCAATTAGATCAGAGTAGTGTTATCTGACCAATCAGAGCAGAAAAAGACCACCTGTCCAGTCAGATCAGAGTAGAGCCATCAGACCAATCAAATCAGAGTAGTGTCATATGACCAATCAGATCAGAGTAGAGCGATCTGACCAATCAGAGCAGAAAAAGATCATCTGTCCAATCAAATTAGAGTATAACTATCTGACCAATCAGAGCAGAAAAAGACCATTTGTCCAATCAGATCAGAGTAGTGTTATCTGACCAATCAGAGCAGAAAAAGACCACCTGTCCAGTCAGATCAGAGTATAGCCATCAGACCAATCAAATCAGAGTAGTGTCATATGACCAATCAGATCAGAGATATTTGAACAATTAGAGCAGAGTAGAGCAATGGGAACAAAGTAGAGCCATCTGACCTATGAGAACCGAGTACAACAATCTGGCCAATCAGATCAAAGATTTGTCATCTGACCTATCAGAACAAAAGGAAGTCAACTGGCCAGTGACGCCCCATTCACACGGGGCTTCAGCATCAACGCTTGACTGAAGTCAGGGCTGAAGCGATCGTCTTAGAAGCGTCAGTCAATGAAATTCAGTCAGCAATAGGCCACTGTCTAGCTGGTGTATTTGCATACAGCGATCTGATTGGCTGACGCTTCCGTCGGCCCTTGAAAAGTCGAGCTAGTCCCAACTTCTGCAGCGAGCAACGCCTCTGAAGTGGCGCCGATGGATCCACAATGCAGTTCGGCAACGCCTGACGTCACCCATATTCAAAGTGAATGGGAAGCGTTGACGCTGACGCCCCGTGTGAAAGGAGCGTAAGAGCAGAGTAGATCCACCTGACCAATAAGACCATAGGAGGGACATCTGATCAATCAGAGCACTGTATTTTCTCTGGAAGGCGGGGTTTAGGGAGAGTGTATTTTTGAGCCAGCTGTTGTGGACTCTGTGAGAAAAGTGGATATGATCAGAAAAAAAACAATGTTTTTTTGACTTTGAATGGATGTAAAGCTGCTGTAGGAGACCAACAGAACACGGAGAAGCTTTATAATAGCTAGTCTGGTAGATATGTTGGTGAATAAGCATGTTCTAATGAGCATCTGCTTCTCTTTTAGGTTACTCTGAGGATGGAGGATTGAGGAGAGGAGAACTGATCCCAGATCATGAGTTTGAGGACGGACCGCTGCGTCTGGATGATGAGCAGGAGTTTCCTCCGGTCAGCTTCAGGAACAGCTGATCTGAGATCAGAGCGGATCGCTGTATGTACGGGAGTGTGATGAAATCATGTTAATCATGTGATATCAGAGTGACCAGTTACCAGCTAAACTTTAACAAATACACTCACGATATGAAGAGTGTTTTAACTTGAGCAGATTGCACAGTTGAAATGACATTTACATTTTAATTATGTTTTTAATTTCTTCTAATGTTTTTCTTTGAAACAAAGTCTTTTTTTCTTTTAGTTAGGACGAATGGAATATTTTTTTTATGTAAAACTGCTAAGATCAGTATTATTAGCCCTTTTAAGAAAGATTTATTTCCGATTATCAACAGAACAGACTACTGTTGTCCAATAACTTGCCTAATTAGCCTAATTATTCTAGTGAAGCCTTTAAATGTCACTTTTAGCTGAATACTGGTGTCTTGAAGAATATCTAGTTTAATATTATGTGGTCATCATGGCAAAGAGAAAATAAATCAGTTATTAGAAATGAGTTATTAAAACTATTATGATTAGAAATGTGTTGAAGAAATTGTTTAAAAATCACATGTAAAAAAAAGAGAGTGTGGGTGCTTCCCATTACTGGGTTGCAGCTGGAGAGGCATGCGCTGTGTTAAACATGTGCCAGAGTAATTGGCGGTTCATTCTGCTGTGGTGACCCCATGATAAATCAGGGATTAAGCTGAAGGAAAATGAATGAATAAATAATTACATCTCACAGGAGTGCAAATAGTTTAGTCTTCATCTGTTGATGTGTTTATAATGCATTTGCCAATTGTAAAGTGCGATTGTGAGATCATATTTAGCCACAGACTAACACGCTTATATTAATATCTAAAGGCATCTGCTACGCAAATCATATACTGGATAGGTTGGCGGTTCATTACGCTGTGGCGACCCCTGATTAATGAAGGGTCTAAGCAGAAAAGAAACGAATGAATAAACTGATGATTATGTTATATTAAATTATATTATTATTATATTATATTAAATTATATTATTATATAAAATTATATTATATTATATAACATTATATTATATAACATTATATTATATTATAGTAAATTATATTATTATTATATTATATTAAATTATATTACATTATATTAAATTATATTACATTGTATTAAATTATTAAAACTATTATGATTAGAAATGTGTTGAAGAAATTGTTTAAAAATCACACGTAAAAAAAAAGAGTGTGTGGGTGCTTCCCATTACTGGGTTGCAGCTGGAGAGGCATGCACTGTGTTAAACATGTGCCAGAGTAATTGGCGGTTCATTCTGCTGTGGTGACCCCATGATAAATCAGGGACTAAGCTGAAGGAAAATGAATGAATAAATAATTACATCTCACAGGAGTGCAAATAATTTAGTCTTCATCTGTTGATGTGTTTATAATGCATTTGCCAATTGTAAAGTGCGATTGTGAGATCATATTTAGCCACAGACTAACATGCTTATATTAATATCTAAAGGCATCTGCTACGCAAATCATATACTGGATAGGTTGGCGGTTCATTACGCTGTGGCGACCCCTGATTAATGAAGGGTCTAAGCAGAAAAGAAACGAATGAATAAACTGATGATTATGTTATATTAAATTATATTATTATTATATTATATTAAATTATATTATTATATAAAATTATATTATATTATATAACATTATATTATATTATAGTAAATTATATTATTATTATATTATATTAAATTATATTACATTATATTAAATTATTAAAACTATTATGATTAGAAATGTGTTGAAAAAATTGTTTAAAAATCACACGTAAAAAAAAGAGAGTGTGGGTGCTTCCCATTACTGGGTTGCAGCTGGAGAGGCATGCGCTGTGTTAAACATATGCCAGAGTAATTGGCGGTTCATTCTGCTGTGGTGACCCCATGATAAATCAGGGACTAAGCTGAAGGAAAATGAATGAATAAATAATTACATCTCACAGGAGTGCAAATAATTTAGTCTTCATCTGTTGATGTGTTTATAATGCATTTGCCAATTGTAAAGTGCGATTGTGAGATCATATTTAGCCACAGACTAACATGCTTATATTAATATCAGGAAGTGGAACAATCATTTTTTAACCTGGGTGTGAATGCAGAACTGATATGCATTCACTGGAAAGTGTGGGAAACTCATTATTGTGATGCATTTTGTTTGAAATGTGCGTATATTTGTGTAAAAATGCAGTATTTGATAAAAGATTAATTGAATCTGAACATCTCAGTGCTGACTATTGAAAACATCAGCCTTGAAGTTGAGGAGGATTTTTAATTTTGCTCCCGAAACTGCTGCACATAGCTGCTTTCCCTTTGACACTTGTGTTTCTCGCACCCCTTGGGAAAATATCCTAACATTAAAGTGAGGCTAGTGCTCGGCCTGGATCCGTCTCCAGGTTATTCCACTCAGGCTTTACAGCTTTAAAGTCATTATTTAAGAAATGTAATCTACTAATATATCAGTCAGTGCTTTCTTCTCCCCATGGTTTCATGGGTTTCCTCTGGGTGCTCCGGTTTCCCCCTTAAATCCAAAGACATGCGGTATAGGTTAATTCAGTTAGCTAAATTGTCCATAGTGTATGTGTTTCCCCGGGTTGGGTTGCAGCTGGAAAGGCATCTGCTACGCAAATCATATACTGGATAGGTTGGCGGTTCATTACGCTGTGGCGACCCCAGATTAATGAAGGGTCTCAGCAGAAAAGAAACAAATGAATAAACTGATGATTTTGTTATATTAAATAATATTATTATTATATTATATTATATTATTATATAAAATTATATTATATTATATAACATTATATTATATTATGATAATTATATTATTATTATATTAAATTATATTACATTATATTAAATTATATTATTATATAATATTATATTATATAACATTATATTAAATTATATTATTATTATATTATATTAAATTATATTACATTATATTAAATTATATTAATATTATTATATTATATTAAATTATATTATATTAATATATATTACATTATATTACATTTTATTATAGTAAATTATATTATCATATTATATTAAATTATATTATATAAAATTATATTACATTATAGTAAATTATATTATAGTAAATTATATTATTATTATATCATATTAAATTATATTATTTTATAATATATTAAATTATATAATATTTTTATATAGCTAAGTACAGCCCTTACAGATCTCTCTTTTAAATTAAGATTTTCTACAGGATGCTTTACAATAATATATTTGTGCATATAGATTATTCACTACCAAAGCAAAATTTGGAACTAATCTAACAAAAAAATTATTAATCACAGTCCAAAAATTAGTACACCCAAATAAATATGTTGATGGAAAAGTGTTAAATAAAATTAATAACCAGCTGAAAAAATCGACAGAAACATAAAAATATTAAATTTTGTTAAATTGTTTTTAAAAATTAAACAAAAAATGTGTTCAGAATAACTTATATGAATTTAAATAAACACACTATTTTATATATATATATATATATATATATATATATATATATATATATATATATATATATATATATATATATATATATATATATACACACACACACACACTATTAAGTGACTATAAAGTTTTAATCATTATTAAGAGGTTAAATTAATTAAAATAGCATCAAACTATGGCAGGTGAATGTTAACATTACTTTGATTAGGCTTGAACTTAGCCTGAGAGTTAGCCTGCTCCAGGCCAGGGTAGTTTCCCAGCATAAGTTTGAACTATCGTACATTTGATTTATCCGCCATTGATTGACCCACCTGACTTACCAAAATAAGCCGTTTACATCTTGTAAAAAGGGGCATAATAGCTCCCCTTTAAATTTAATTCACAACTCGCTTACTGTAAAAACAAACGTAGGGTTTGTACAAAATTCCGGCAAGTTTTAAATGTGTTGCAATTGCACACACAGTATGTTAAATAAAAGATAGTAAACGCATGCTCCTGACCGGTGTTTGTTTGTGACGCGTTCTGTATCGCGCGGTGAATGCTGGGATATGAGCACACACACACACACACTGACACAGCTCCTCCCCACGTGTTTGAGTGACTGCAGCTCTACGATCGGCAACATGGCAGAAGAGACAGCAGATAAGCACACAAATAAGGCTTCAGTCTGACCTGCTGGAGGACTTCATCTCCAAGACACTGCTGTACATTGAGACGGGCTTCTTCTTCTGGGTTCAGCCGCGTAGTGTTGATGATTTAGCGGATCCGCCGAGGCCTCGGTCAGTGTGTATGTCAGTGTGTGTGTATTCACAACAGGCTGCCGGTGTGTGTGTGTCAAAAGTTTCATTAATACTAAAAACATATTAATCTACATTCACCGCCCGCCATTTCGATGTGTTTTGACCTAACGTGTGTGTTTTTTAGTGGTTGTTTATGTCTGAAGAGCTGCTAACTCATACTAGCATGTCGCTTCGTTTGCTGACTGAAGCGCATTCTCTTCTTCATTGAGGTAAAGTTGGTTTTATATTCGCATATTCTTTTGTTATTGAACACTGAAAACATGTGAGGCAGTCCATATATTGTGTTTAACCCGCTACTTTAAATATTTGGAGTTAAATCGCATGTATGTATGAGTTAAACAACATTAGCACTGTTTAATTGTCTGAACAATGTTGGACCTTGATAGTCATTGACTGCTAGTATGATTTCCCTATATAACGTTACAATTTTTTTTAAATTATATTTAGGAGAAATGCGAATATTAAGCCAACTTTACCCCTTCTGTTTTTGTTTTACCGTGTTTACTTGGTTTTTAATCTGCTTTATTGTGGTGTGCAGGGTAAAATTAGCTCTTTACAAGCGCTTGCGTCATTCAGTAAACATTGGTTAACCTTAGCAGGTTATTATCATGACAAACAGTGATTGATTAATGTTTATGAATGAAATGCTTGACATTAGGTTACTTAACATAATTAATGAAGTAATTTAGCAAAGTTACATTATTTAACATTGCTTAATTGCTTAAATAGTAATAAATTAACTAAACATTGAGTTAACTTAATAAGCAGACTTATTTCCTGCTCATTATTAATACATTTTCTGTTTATTATTACTTCTAAAGCACATATTCTACATTTTCTTATTCTACATCCCTAATCCTATCCTAAACCCAAACCCAACAACTACCTTAATAACTATAAAGCAGCATATTAGAAGGTAATTGAGTCCTCATCATCATGTTAATGTCTAATGTCTTGCCCTCATTCAGTAAACATTCATTAGCGTTAGCTGTTATTGTCATGACAAACTCATTGATTAATATTATGAATAAATAACTTGACATTAAATTACTTAACATTGTTAAATTAGGTAACAATAAATTAACTTAACATTGAGGTAACATTATATAAGCAGACTTATTTCCTGCACATTATTAATACATTTTTTGTTTATTAATACCTCTAAAGCACATATTTGTGTGCATGATCTTATTCTATGGCTCTAATTCTACCTAAACCCATCTACTGCCTTAATAACTATTAATAAGCAGCAAATTAGGACGTAATTGAGGCTAAATTATCAAGTTAATGTCTATGTCTCGCCCTCTCTTCATGTTTTGGTTGAGATTAAAAAACACACATTTTAAAGCACTTCACTGGACCTTGAAGTAATACTACCTTATTGTAAAGTGTTACCACTATTAATTGGAAAGCACTTTGGCCAATATGTGTTGTTTTTAAA